CGTAGCACCCTGTATATAATAATATAAACACTATGTATAATTATATAAAAATAGAAAAGATAATATTTACATTTTTTTATACATATGTACAAAAAAGAGAGCATTATTCAGGTCCGTGAACGGTAGACAGAAATTTATTCAAATCTACTTCATCCAAGTTACTGAGTAATGTTTGCGGATCAGTCGTGCATTTCTTCTCCACCTTAACACAAAAAAAAAACTATTATATTGTATAAGTTTCAAAGACAACACAAATTATTGCAAGAGTTGTTTAATTACCTGCTTCGTTTCTTTTGCTTCTGATAGCTTTCGCTTTCGGCTTTTGGTAATATCTGTAATTAAAAAACATCTTTTATTTAATGTTATCTAACTTAAATAGAAATTAAGTTTATTAAACAAAATATTTTTACAATCTCACCTTTTTCTTTATGCTTATCCACTTTTTGCTTTTTCTTCGCATCAGATTGCGTATTGGTTTTATTTGTCGTAGAAATTTTTATGATCAACTTCTTTGTTTTAGCTTTTGATAATTCGTCTACAGGAGATGAGGTTGCCAAGGGTTTCGTGGTGTCGTCTTTTAAATTAAGTATGTCTTTGTCCGTGTGGTGAGGTGTCTCGCAAACTTTTTCGTTCTTCGTGCGTGATTTCTTATTCACCGTCCGCTTCTTAGGCGGGAGATTAAATATTTCCTCGAATTCGGTAGCTTTCATTATCTTGATGCACTCAACGGGGTTCGGATCCGAGAGATTGGCATGACTGATCTCGATCTGTAACTCGTGTGCGCTGTATCTCCTCCTTCTCTTTCTCATCGGTACGCTGTCGTCGTACACGAAGTGATACTCGGCTCTACGGACGTCAGCTGTCCGATGCGACTCGTCATCGCCCTCACTTTCAGATTCACTCTGCTCTTTGCGTTGCTGTTCAGTTTGATTTCTATTCTTGTTCGACTGCTCCTTTTTGGACGCGGGCACTAATTGCAAACACTGAAGAACGGTCGATAATTCCTGTTTGGGATTCTCGACGTTAACATTCTCCCTGGCCGGAACTTCATCGGGATCTTGAGCCTCCGCGTCCGCTTTGATCTTCTTGGCTTTGTTATCTCTCGCACTTGCAGTCGAGGATGTTCTGTTATCGTTCTCCTCATCACTAAATAAGTCGCGCTTTACCTGATCTACCTTGTACCTTAATGTCTTGTAATCAGATTTGTCAACATTCGGCAATTGTCTCAGTTTATTCGCTTTATCCTCCGTCTGTTCGCGCTTTACCTTATCCAGAGCCAGTGTTTCCTGTACAACGATATATTTCTCCGAATTTGTTTCTTTCTGCAAAATCTTGTCTTGTACACTAACAGTTTTAAGCGTCTCCTCTGTTCCTTCTCCGCCGGCATTGCTTTTAATTCTGTTTTTATCTCTACTCTCCTTGGAATCCGGCATCTCCTTCAAACGATCTTGATTCTCTGACAAGACATTATGCGTAGATTTACCCTTCTTACAATTTTCAACCATGTCGTTTTCACAAATGTCATTTTCGTGCGATCGTTTTGCCGTTTGATCATCGAATGGCTTGTTACCATTATTCCCGCAATTCGTTAAGCTAGGATCGGAACTTTTCAACGCGGCATCTCGATTTGTCGTTTCCTCTTCGCAACATTTATTCACGCGATCCTCTTTTCGCGACTTAGACTTTCTTCGTGTACTTTTCCTCGAGGTTTCCTGCCGATTATCTTGCGGCTCCGCGTTCTTATTAACGTTTCTGGAATATCTTGCCGTTGGGCGTATATTTCGGTTACCTCTACCAAACTTCTTCAGGGTGTCGGTGGTCTTGCCAGTTAAATGGCGTTTGCGCTTCGTCCCACCGGCAAGATTCAATTTCGGGTTTTCTTTGATCTTAGCTATGATGCGTTGTCGTTTCTCCTCTAGCAGCTGCCTGTGGACAAGCATATCGTCCACAGGC